ATAAGATGGGACAACAACGATAATTAAATTGTAAATAGTGATGTAGTTGTTTCTAAAATTGGTTCTCGCTCTTCGGTAGTACCATCAAAAAAAACCAACGTCAAAATAATAATGGTTTCGGACAATTGAGTAAGGCCTGGGAAGCATCTCAAATACGGGTTATTTATTTCACGTGATCAGTGAGGGTTGCGTGCGGCCTTGAGAGGTCAGCGCCCTTATATACAAACAATGCAGGGGTGAGGAAAGAGAAAGTCCAGTCAGCTGCTTTGGAATGCAGTGGTCCTGTCTGTGGAAGGGCAGTGACGGCCATTATAAACACACCAAGCACTGATGGGTAGGAAGGGAGAATGTTTGTTTAGTGATTGATATATCATCTCAAGTGTCAAAATATTGTCTTCACTTGATGTTGATGTTCATTATCTGACAAGTTTAAGGTCATTCGTTTCTGTTGTAGTAGTGTAAAAATGTGACAATGTTTGATTACAACACAAGTACCAGGAGAGCTTACTCGAGGTGGCAGGTTATTTCATATGTAGCGATGCATATTTGGCTAAATACACTCTCGCCAATTCAGTGAATACAAAAAGACTATTTAAATGCCTATCGTATTTCGTTTTCGTATTTCAGGAGAAGACCTCTTGTTCATCTTTACATGCAAACACTACGTAAAATATCTTCTGGGCCGTGACGGACAGACAGACAGAAATTGAGAAAAAACATTAAAAGTTTTTTAATGTATAAACGCAAAAATAACAGAAAATATGTCATTCTGAACAGTGTACAGACAAAACTCTAAATTTATTTGCAGATATTTTATATACAGCACCATTTGATTAACTGTATTTTTTCACTTCTATAACAGATTTCGTTTCTCATGACGCTTGATGAACGACTTATACACCTAATAACAACTTACTTAAATAGGCAATCCTAACGAACTACTGTTGCAGTAAACTTAACCGTTACACATGTTTGAAATTTACAACATCTTGCATAATTACAATACTTTGTGCCTGTTGGCTACTATGAATAGTTTGGATTAATTTAAGATATTAAACTTTTTTGATATAGGCCTACACAAGGTAAATTGGCCTCCATGTTACCCAAAATTATACACAGGTCCTATATATATACTAGTGTACATGTTGCTCAAATTCAAGCAATTGCAAAGTATTACAGGGGTTATTTCAAAACCAATAACAGTCATATTTAAAAAAGTTTAACTCAAAGTTTAAAAAGAGTTTAAAAAGAGTCAACTCAAATATTACCATTGTGTAACTCAGACCCTGATTACCTAAATCCCTGATCTTCGTTATTGATAAACCTAAAGCATTCCGGCTGGTTTTCTCCTTCTCAAAATGCCTCGCTGTACAGGCAACACATGTCATTGATAGAGGGTCAAATTGAGAACGAAAAGTCTTTTAGGGGTAGTGTTAGCTCGCATGCGTAACCTAATAGTTGAGATTGTCCAGGGTCAGGTGCTGACGTGTACGCCTCCTTTCTATGTTTCGTTGTTGTCGCGTCGGAGGCATTTAAAAGAAAAAAACAACAAATAAACAAATTATAGCTACACAAAACAACGATAAATGCACAAATTTAAGTTACAATCATGCTAACACGATCCGTCATAGCGACACAAAGCAACGATAAATATATAAATTCAAGATACAACCATACTAACACGGTCCGTTTTCGTTTTGGGGGTTATGTTTACACAAACTCAAATAGTAAATAAATTTACTCAATGCGTTTCATTGAATCGAAAAATAAATAACAGCAATTAAATTATACAGCTGATCAAAATGTAAACAATTATGTTTTTCATAAGGATAACATGGGAACTTTCAAAGCCACTGGGGCAGAACCCAAGGGACTTTGTAAAAAATGTAAGGCCAGTTGGCAAATCTACGCGACACGCTCTTTCCAATGAGATGTCAATGGATAAAATCGGTTAAGAAATGGCGGAGGAGTTCAACCGACAAAGTTTCATCATAGATAAAACATACTCCCTTAGGTTTCATGTAGCGTATTAATTATATATATATATATATATATATATATATATATACACACCATATTACCACACTACAAATGTAATTCTACAATATACGGTACGTAGTTTTATCCAAACAAACGATCAAAACCCCCTAATGATATTGTTATTTGATTCAATAGTCAATGCACATAAGCGAGTCTTATCTTTCAAAGCAGATTAAATAATACAAAGGCAGAGGAATGCGCGAGAACGAGGTCACTTCACGGTTGCTATAGAAACGACGAAACTATCCATTAGAATTGCGCGCCAACGTCATCTAAACTCCAGACTGTATAAACACGCCGAGTGTGTAGTGTTCGACGGAGCTAGGCTACTTTCAGTTGGCAAGACTGGCTTCTAGCCTCGAGCGACGTGGTTCAACCACGAGAAGCGCCTCAAACTCCTGGGTAATCCCCGGTTAGCTCCTCCCACTCTGCCCCCTATCCCCACCTAAAAGACGAGCAAGTGGTAAGTCGGTCGGGTCGATTGACGACAAGTTGGTTTCTCGTATATAATAATTTAGTTTTACAGGCCGGTCAACTGGAATGACGATGAAATAACTTGTCGACGTACTGGTTTTCAGTATTTATCTATTTAATTAAAAAAGACGGTCTAGTGGCCAGACGACCAAGTATCTTGTCGGTCTACTGGTAGGCTCCCTTAATATATAGATAGATAATATATTACTTTTATTTGCTTTTACATACAGTTCTGCAGTGCTAACAGATTGTTATAATCAAAATTATTTTAACTGTATTAAAAAAAAATACATATCTTATTACTTTCAGGTCAGTTATGATTAGTTAGAAACGTTAAAGTATGATTTTTAGCCAGGATATATACTCTCTAGTTACAAAGGAATGCTTGCCATACTAGAAGCTTGATTATAAATATGTTTAGAATTTTATTTTGGGCCCCAAGAACTGAATATGCAATGAAAACATACTCACAGTTCAGATGTTCAAATGCATTTAATCATGTAGATATATTACATGTATCTCTGAATTTTCGGCTATGTCAGGTAATTGTAAATAAAGACTAGTATAAGTATTAACAGAAATATTATCACCACAAAACGCATTTATTTAACTTTTTTCAAGTAAGAACTCGAAGGTTGAACATGCCTATCAGCCCATTTATTAGCATGCAATTTTAAATTTCGCGCCAACTCCGGCCTCACGCAAACATGGCGGGCGTATGACGAGGTGGTGAGAGAAGGCCACTGGTGGGTGGTGTTACGAGAGACAAGGGTTCGTGAAACTGAAACAAGGTAGGCAACCATATTTATTTCACTTCACTCTCGCTCGTAACGTAACTTACGATAACAACATCGGTTCGATTCTCTGCGATTACGATTTCGACTTTCAGTTGATAACAATCGAAACACAACCGAATCATACGGTTGGTCTGTTGTGAACCCAGCACTATCCGAAATGGATAAACCAAACCACGAAATATAAGCAAAGCAAAGCATGGATGATGGATGTATTCTTCTTTTTCTAACTTTATTACTTTTGGAGGGCTAGCTCTTTAAACAGTCATGCAGCTGCACTATTTTATATTTTTCGTTATACTGCGGCAAAAAGAGTTTTACAGGTGGGTTTACAAATGCAGCATTCACTAAATCCCAGGTATTTTTACATTGGCCAACTATTTGATTTTTATATTTGGCAAATTTCAAGCAGAGGCGCACACATTCGGAACACTATATTCGTTGTGTGTATTGTAGATTGTCGAATATTCGTGTGCATGAATCGAGGTAATGAGTACTATTTTATACAGGCAACCAAGCACGCCGATCTAGACACTCTAAGCAATCTTGATTTTTTTGAGGTTATATATTTGCGTTCCATTTATGACTAGACTATTTGAACATTTTAAAATATATATACAATATCGGTAATTTGAATTTCTTGGCGGAGTAAGACATGTTGCATCTAAATAACATGCAACATGTTTGCAGATTGTTCTTATATGTGGTTCAATTTTTTTGTGGCAGGTTGTTAGACGTAGGGGTGGCACATTGACGCGCTCCTCTCTATGTTTTGTTTTCATTTTTCATTCATTTTTACTTTCTCCCCCTATACCATACTATATGGAGAAAGTATTGTTTTCGTCAAAATTTTCGAGTTTGAGTTTTGAGTGGATATATTCGTTTTGGGTCCCCCTGGACCCAAAAAAGAGGTTTTCGAAGTGATGTCTGTGTGTGTGTGTGTGTATGTGTGTTGCTAACTCTACCAGGCGGCCTGGAGTTAAAAGTGCGGCCGTGGTCTAGGTCTAGCTAGAGCAACGGCACTCCTTGGTACCCTACTGCCAAACCATCAACCAATGAGGGACATGATGGTCTTGTGATTTTGCCATGGAAACCAAATATCGCATAATGTTCCTCCCACTTTCTCGTAAAAAGAATTTGTTAGTTCTTTAATATGAACAGTTTTAGAGCCAAAATATTAACTGCAGTTCTAGAAATGTGTTTCAATCCTTAAACATATTATTAAAAACATTATATTCCTATCCCAAAATTCAACCTGCAAAGTAGTCTCCAACGTTATTAACAAGGAACACAACCAAAACAGGCTCTAAATTTTACAATATGAGAAATATACTTGAAAAATTAAGAGATATATCATACTCTCAAATACCAAATTAACATTTTATTGTTCAATACCAATAACCATTAATTAACTTATATGAATGCCCTAGTAGTAATAATCATCATTGCGCTAGATAACCAATGCTACGAATCATAATCCAGCTTCATGGTAGTAAGCAGTATTATGATTTTAATAGAGTTTGAAAACTGCAACGGATGTGTTTTCTGCTGTGTGTGCGTCGTCTGTACTGTACTGTATCTGTACTCTGTATACAAAACAAACGTAAACAAACACTAAACTAAACAGACACTGCAACTAACTGCAGGAGCAAGAGCAGGCTGAGGCTGACGAAAAACTATATACTGTAAAGTAAAGTACTTATTGCTAGGATTAGGCCATTTCAATAGTGTAAACAACTTATTGAACCATATAAATCGAATCAAGATTTGAATGATATATTCTTTAATAACGAGTTTGTAGATTGTTGGAAACGTGTCAGTATTCTCTAGCATGTCTCTTATCCAAACCACAATTTAACCCTAAAATGTCAACTCAGTTTATCGTTTGAATTTTATATTACTGATGGCTAAGGAGCCATTAAACAGTTCATTCACAGTGCTTTATATAGCATATACAAATATATACTTGAATAAAATCATGTAAAACCATTAAAAATGCTATTTCTTAAAAGATTACCTGGAATAGTATATAGCCACAGACACTCGGCTTCAATAGTTTTTTGTCTTTTTTTGGTATTTATATATTTGTTATTTCATTGGGGATTTGTGTGCACCAATTTGGAGCCATGGAATCATGTAAAGTATCTGGTAAGTTTATTTTAATTCTTTTCATATGCTACTACCGGTACCTATAGTTTAGCTACCGGTACTTTTTCTTATTTAAAACTTAAGTTATTGTCCTCTTATTTTTCTAATTTTTTTTGTAACTTTGCACAGTAGGCCTAATTGTCAACCTTGGTAACTCCTTGGCATATTTATTACTCCCAAGAAAAGACACAAAAAGCTTTTTAAATAAAAACTGCACAAGGCATTACACTGATGCCACACTTTAACTTAATCTCTTTAAAGTAAGTCCTGCACGATAACCATTCAAGCAATTAATGTAATGGCTTAAATAACTTTTACAGTAATAGTAATCGCTGAAATAACACATATTCTTCTGTTTTTAGTGCAATCAGTATCAAAAGGGCCTTGTAGTTGGGAATCTTTGTCACCCTTTATGTGAAGAAGGACGCATTGGATCATTCTCCTGTCAAACCTTTCACGCAGGAAAGGAAGTAGTTTTTTCAGGTGTTAAAGATGAAAACTCAAGATTGGTTTTCAAGCTTGCAAGACATTTGGACCAACAGTCTCAATCTACAGTGTATTGGTTGGAAAACGGAGTGGAAAAATATCCAACAGAAGCTGAGTTCACTAAGATGATTGTCGACCATATAGGCAACAGGTATCTAGCCTATAAGTTAGGCCTATAAGCTATTTGTTAAAATTATTTTTATAACATTATAAGTTAAATCATAGATAAAACATACTCCCCCAAGTAGATTTCTCATCCTTATGCAACAGCTGAAGACAATTTTATTGTTAGTTCTGTACGGTTTATGTAGAGGTCGTGTTTTGTTTACAATTTGTACCAGTTATTACAGTCGTTTAAAACCTTGTTTAACCAAATAATACGATCTAATCATAAACAATAACTTGTCTCCTAGTTATATAACCAAACAGTAAAGCACAAATCAAGAAATTAACCCTCAAATAATAGAAACAAAATTTTGTCGACACTAGCGCCCAGTGTCACCGTACATGAACTAGACACGAAAAACGTGCTTCAAAATTTACAATGGGATGACAAGTCTACTTGTGTTGGTTAGTCTATGGTTAAATCAAAATAAAGTTAACTTAGGGTAATTATTTTGATTTTTTTCTTGAAAAAACTAAATAGAAGACATTGTCTGACGCTACCGGTAATGTATTTCTTGCTATTTATTTCCAGAAACAGAAATTCCACTAGGCCTACCTAGTTTTATTTAATTAATTATACAGGATTGTTGGTAATGTTTGGCAAATTGTCTAAGTTATATGGTCGACTAAACTTAGATACTTTTGATAGAGGCTTGATAGGCTTATCAGTTTGATCCTGAGAAAAGTCAGTACCGGTACTGTAGCTTGTTAGGTTGCTAAAAGAGTACATTCAAAATCTAAGGGTATCAAGTAGCTTAGGTACATCGAACTAGAAGTCACCCAAATATGAAAAAATCCTTATGTCAGAGACGCCATGTCAAAACTAATAGCTCTGTACATTAATAATAAATAACCTAAGTTATATTTGGCCTTGCAGTATTACAGTTGGTCAAACATTAGCCTATGTATCGAGATTCATAGTCACAATACAAGAAACAATTTAAATATGAAATGAAGTTACAAATTAAATTTGACTCAAAAAAGCCACGTAGTGATGTCATAGATAATATCAAACTCACTCAATGTTTTTAAAATAATTTTATGATTGGCTTTTAAAAAATCCCTTTTGTTCCCTCTCAGAGTTTTTAGAGGAGAAGACAATTGTAGACCCTACTTTAGCTTGTAAGCTTATGTTTTTTGTAGGCTTAGGCCTATATTTTTTATGACCTTTGAATAGTTATATTCTTGACTGTTGCTAATACATGTATAATGTCAATGGCAAATAAAGATTTGTATTCTATTTTATAACCAATAGGTTACTATTGTCATTTAGTCTATTTGTCATCTGTTCCCCCTTTCATTCATGGTCGTTGAGTACAATCACTATGGTTCCTCTCAAAATTTAGTCATAGGGCCTATTTGAAGCAAACTCTAACCTAAAATTTTTTTTAACAGGCTGAACACCTCTGTGAGCCCAGATCTGGCTTCGTCTCTAGGTCGCTTCAGTCAGTCAGTTGAGTCACACTCCATGGACCGTCACTTAGAGATGAGAGAAGTCTGGACTCTGCTGCAGGACAATGAGTACTTACTCGCCAGTCTGTACTCGGGCAGTGATGTATTCCCGAGAGTGCTTGGTTCTTGTGGACAATACTTCGCTTTAGAGTACCTTGAACCGGCCATAGAAGGACATGTAACTTAATACTCACTGCATGGTGTGTGCACGCTTATCTTGATTTTAGTTTGTTTTAAAGCACGGATCAGTTAAGCTACATTTGTTTTGCCATAATGGTTAGTTAAACATTTGTTTTAGGAAGTTTTAGTAGTTAGCCTATGTCTAGCAGTTTTGTTCGTAAAGAGTCGTGTAGTAAACGTTTCGTGGCTGAAGTACGACTGACTGCCCGGGGCGCTTCTTGAGCAGCTCTCTCCTACCGCCCCTGGCATCGGGGTTGAAAACTATGGTCATCCCCTCCATATAGCGTCACTATGTCGAGCGTTTGTTATGCGGCCTTTTCGTGAAACAAATCAACGTATTTGGGATGACCAAGAATTATTACCCCACATTAATTTTTGACCCGTTCCATGTTTTTTTACGATAGAACTTTTTTTTATGGAAATGGTTAAAACCTTCGACTATTGATACAACTAGATATTTTTTCCCCATGTTGTTGTTGCCAGTTTTTAATCAAAATTGTTATAGTTTATGTGAGCCACCGATAGATTGTGCTGATGTAATTTACATAAAGTAAATCAAAATACATCTAATAAAACCTAAAACGTATTAAACACTTAACTTTTTTGGGACAAATTGTAGGCTATATTTATAAGGAAAAATGTTGCCGATAAATCAAAAAAAGCTAATCAATGAACATGTAAATTTAGATTCCAGTTGTACTTATAGAAACCTCTTACCCAGACCTCCCGGTAGCCACATAAGTAGGGACGCCATAGAGGTTTGCCTATTGGGATCTAATGATGATTGGAGTATCCAATCGAAACATATTTAAAATGTATTTACCGTCTCATGAGTCAACAGTTTAAGTGTAAATATTTTAGGTGTTATTAGATGTAGAGTATTTTGATTTATGTAGCCTAGCCTACTTTCTGTAAATTTATTCAACATCTACAATGCTGATCAAGAAATTATTTGATGTAAATTACTGATTTATGTCCAATACACACATTTTTTACCAAGTCAAACTGATGGAAAGACTTATTGTAAGCTATAGCAACTCTAACGACCCATCAACTATGTCAGCATAAAAAAAGGTAGACAATAGAATTTCAGACACTAGCGCATTCTGTGACTGGCTCACACAATTATGTTTTAAAGAAATATTGGTGACCCATATATTTGGTGGTCACCAAATCCGATAGATATCCGATGGATCTATATCTGATGGATCTATATTCGATATATGGATCTGATGGATGGTATATCCGAAAGATGGGATGTCTACTTCAGTATCCAATAGGCCTAGTCAACCCTGACCTTGTTACTATCTAACTGACCTTTTCTTAGAATACATCAGAATTACCTCTGGGCCCTGTTTCATAAAAATACTAGTCTAGTAATTACTAGTCTAGTAAATACTAGTCCCGTATTTACCTGTCCTACTAATTTGTGTTTCATAAACGTTTTTATATCGCTAGTAAATACTAGTGTATTTTACTAGTCACGTGACCAAAACTACTAGTCACGTGACCAACTTTACAAGGTAAACTCTCAAAACAAATTTCTAACCTCAATCACGGGTTTTCAAACCCTTTATAAAGAGTTTTAATTTTGTTTTCATTTGATACAAAAAGTAAATAGTTGTAGAAACACAGTGTTTTCTTTAAATTAATAACTATATAGACACATAAGTAAAACAATCACATACTATTTATCAAACCGCTAGCCGGTTGTAGGCCTAGTTGCGGCGCTCAACAGTTGGGTGGAAGTTGATCTGTTGCTGCCGCATTCGCATAATTTGTATAGTTTTTGTTTTATTCTGACATATAAAATTTAGCTTGCTATGAGTAAAGACAAGAAGGCTCAAATTTTGAATGTAATTAAATCGTCTAAGGACATTTTGTTTGGAACGTTTTCAAGTACCCTAACCTATGTTTTCAAATATTCGAATGCATAAGAATATTTGGGTTGAAAACCATTTGGAGATATTCTAATTTTGAGTCTACAAACCATGAATAATAAGCCTAAACGTTTATTGATGTAACAAATAATTGCAATGCCTACAAGCAATAGAGAAGTAGGTTTTCAACAGAGAGCACAGAATTGCTCGCTGGTTTTCAAGTACTGTATAGTAAAACATGGCATAGGCGCTACGGCAGGGGTTAGCTCAGAGGCAGAGTTCTCGCTTGTCGTGTGGTGGGTCCCTGGTTCAAATCTGCGTCACTCTACTTTTTATTGCATTAATTAAACTTTTACATGTTTTTACATTAAAATAACAGCTCTAATCAACATCTATTTGTTTTTATTACTTTGAATAACAAATTCAGAATACCAAAATGGATTGAAAGTAATGTTTTTATGATAAGCAGTTCAGTTCAACACCCAAAAATCAAATATAGGTCTACAAAATTGTTAGTACATCACAGGGTTTTAGCTATTTAGGGAAGCAAATAAAAAGCACCTCAAAAAATACAATGCAACTCCTCTTTAAAATTGCCTTACTATTATTTCCTATTAAAATGTCTTTTTTTAAACAAAACCGAGAGCCTTAATTGGGTGTAAAATAATCTGATTAATGTTGCAATGTTGGATACATTTTTGTAGATCTTTGTATGCAAAACGGTATGCGGTTTTAATTTGGTTCCTCTCAAAGCTTAAAAATCTTTTCTCTGTGATAGCTAAATAGTTTATATAACCATGAAATTTAACTCAAGTAAAATTAGACTAAAATTTCACAGAAATTGATAACGTATAATTATAATTATTCTAATAGGGCGATTGTACATACATTATAAAATTCAATTTCACTCATTTTTACTACGCCACATTTATTGATAGTAATTTATATCTAATAATTATCATTTTAGCACTCACAGACCTATTCGTGAGCCATTTCGCACTGGCAAAAATAACTTAATAAATTCATTTTTTTATGATGTGAGTAATGAAATAACTCTCTTTCCAAAAATACTAGTCTACTTCAAATAATACGGGTGAAGAGAGGTTGGTAGAAAATAGCAAGTATTTACTAGTGTAATTTACAAGAGTAAAACTTTATGAAACACATTGCTGTATACACTAGTAAAAACCACTAGTAATACTAGTCCCTACACTAGTAACTAGTATTTTACACTAGTAGGTTTTTGAAACGTAGACTTGTAAAATACACTAGTATTACTAGTCCATGGACTAGTAAATACTAGACTAGTAGTTTTATGAAACAGGGCCCTGCTGAGGATTGAATCAGCAATATTCAGATTTGAAGGCGAGCACTACTAAACCTTTTAGCTTCTTGCCTGATAACTAGAATAGTGTTACTGAAATGTTAAATCACTACATTTTATGAAAAAATGCTTTTAATTTTACATGATTAGATTGTTTTCCCTGAACTATCACTTAAAATCTCATTAGGACTAGGCTATACTATCTTTTAAGCAAATATTTCAACACTGAAAGTTGCAGTTTTTAAATAAAAATAAATTTGTTAAAATTCAAATCCCTTTTTTAAACTTAGTTTTCTATTCTTTAAAAGGTTTCATACATCAAAATCAGATTTTATGATTTGAAAGGGTATGTAACATTTTCTGTGGTGTGTATTAATGTATTTATTGTATATGATTTTGAATGCTTGCTGTCTTGCAATGCATAGAATGATATGTAGGCTTAAATGTGTTGGTCAAATATCTGTATCTGAAGAAGCAGTATTTTACTTCCTCAGTTCTTTCTTTGCTTGTGTTAGATACCCATTTGAACAGTAATACTTTAATACTTAATTATGAAATTAAATGGCAACTATACAAAAGTAGGTATTTTAAGCCAAGTAAGAATCTTGTTGTCTTGTTAGTGTCTAAAGGCTCACGCAAACTGCCGTGGTACGGTAAACCTCCAGGTATTTTAGATCAACGTTAGCTAACGGGAGCAGCACACTGGTACGGTATACCGGCACCGATGGCCGGCACAGTACAATTTACCCTCGTACAGTAGACTCCCTCTTATCCGGACACCTTTAAACATTGGTTTAACCGGACTACACTCGGCGGAAATGACATCTCTTTAACTGGACAATTTTTATCAGCACATTGGTTTAACCGGACTAGATCGGCAGGAAGTGGACAGTACTATAACGACTGTTCTCGTGGGAAAGATTTGAAACCAGTGATCACGTGTCTAAATACAATGCTCTCCTAAATTTGAGTTGAGTATCACAGTAAACAGTCCGTTTTAACTCATTTTTGGGGACGTCGGTTTAACTGGAAAACCCGTTATCCGGACTGGTCTCGGTCCCGAGGGGTCCAGATAAGAGGGAGCCTACTGTACCGCCAAAGAGCTGCATGATCTTTTTTTGCTGCACGGTATTTCAGTGGTATGCATATTCTCAGTACTGTACGTAAATTCTTATAACAAATTTTTAAATAGTTACGCCCAGTAGGCCTACTGCGTACAGCGTACCGCGCCAGTGTGGGCACCCTACTATACAGCTACCAATGTATCTGTTGAGGCACTATATCCCATTCCGCAGACCGCGTACCGCAACAGTTTGGGCAGGCCTTAAGGCTGACATGCTCCTTAGACACAGCTGTTAAAAGCCCATACAGCCAATGGCAACTAAGGGACCTACAGTTTATAGTACAATACGAACCACATTTTTACCTTGTAATTAACAAAATGGTCTAAAATTATCAGGATAGTAATGCTAATATAATATACAGTATAATAAGACAGTATACTCTGAAAACAAGATGTTGGTTAGCTTGAGAAATGCGTGTTTCATTCTGTTCATTAGTTATCTGTCTCATTAATAGACTCTAAGGATCCTATTAATTATAACTGGAATTGATATGTACCTAACTTGTTTCTGAATCTTAGTTGCAAGAAAACCCAACTGAGGTACATTGTTGTGATTACAAAAAATAATGCACAATCAGAGAATTTATACTATATAGTGGCTTAAATTACCTTGTTACTGTCAAAAACGATCCTTTGTAGTATGTGAGACTACAGCTGTTTCATGCTTCAAAGGAGCACATCATCATTTTGGAAGAATGTCAAGTAGTCTTCATTGGGTATTCCTCGTCGTAGTGGAGCTCGTAAAAAGTTTAATAATAAATAGGTAACAAAACACATAAAACACGGAAACACAAAAGATTTAGTATTGGTCGACCAAACGACGGTAACAACACACAAGATACGACGCCGGCTGAGGATGAGTCGCGACTGTCAAATGCCGTCAGTGTTGACCCCTGGACATTGGAAAAGAACAAAACACAGACTGGCTTGGCGCGTCCACTAATTTCCCTGCCAGGCACCAACTGTTTTTCCTGAGAAATTGTAAAACATCTGTTGTCTCTGTGTTAATTCAATATTTTAAAACCCTCAGGAGCGGTTCGGTTCCTTGACGTTTGGATTTTCGACTCTCTACAGTACTAAATTATTTGTTTTTTTAAAGCTCTTTGGTACTATCATTAAACTATCATAAACATGTTGGCCTGCTTCTTACATAGGCTTTTGCGCCCGGTGTCATATAAGATAACAACATATGAGTTACAACAACATGTGAGTCGCCTGACGTTTGGCCCAAACTATGAAGTGACATAGTAAGGGCGAAACGTGTGATGATAGTATAGCAGTGACGACGCGGTTGACGCTGAAAAACTCCATGAACTCATATGTTGGCCTGTTGGTTAAAACTGATGGTTGTTCTGTAATAGAAATGGACAATAATGAATAACTCTTTGATATGTGTTTGTTGGTTTTCTTCTCAAAAATGTCATTACTTATATTTGTATCTAAACATAAGGATGCTTTGAAAGTGATTAAAGCCGCTACTCCCTCTTTCAGGTGGCTGCTGAAGAAGGTGTTTGGCCCACCAGAGTTAAGTTAGCAGTGCTCGTCTTGGATTTGCTTCAAGAGATTGACAATTCTGTGGGAGAAGGGTTTTCTCTGTGTGATATAAAACCCTCACATTTTGGACTTTCTCCATCAAGGTAAAAACGTTAATTTTATTAGTATGAAGTATCCTTATGATACCATTTTGGCAATAAGTCTGACAACAAACAATATAGCATTATTTTTACTAATGCTTAGAGAATAGTAAAAATCAAGTTTGTACTCTTGCAGTTTAGTTAAGCAAAAGTGTTTACAGTCTAACCTTGATATAATGAACCTTGATATAACAAATTCCTTGATATAACAAATTTCTTTTAATCCCCTAGAACTATAAGATACAATGTATATTTTACGTCTACATAACGAACAAATTATAACAACAACCTTGACTTCACGATTTTTTTGCGATTTCGGCTAAAATAAAACACCTCAATATAAAGATTTTATCATTGTCAGAACTTCTACATAGCAAATTTAACCTCTACTTAACGAATTGTCTACGTCTTTCCCTCAATATAACAAACCCCCTACCCCATTATTGTTTTTGGAAAATCTGTTTCTCTATCAAATGAAATGGAAAGGTGACGTCATCGCTTGCGCTAACATTCGTCTGCTCCGTTTTACACATCTTTGTCTGCTGCTGCTGTCGCTGCACGCTATGTGACATACTCAGGACTGATTTGATTTCATTCACTGAGGAGAGGACTGATGACGACGTAATTTTTAGTAAGCTGTGATTGGGCTGTGATAAGTGCCTAACTATGGTACTTGTACAATTTTTCGATAAAGAGAAGCCTAAGAAAGAATATACAAACAAAAGCAAGGAGAAAGAATTAAATAGCAGCATAAATAAATAAATAAATAGAAATAAAAAGCAACATCGTTATCTTAACATTCCTTTTATGAGTGTTTTTATTATCTTTAAGTTGGCTATGATTATATACCTTTATAATGACTTATCTAAAGTATGAACATTTTACAAACATTTTTAACGCTTTTAAAATCCCGGAACAGTTAAATATTTTCAAAAAATAATAAAGACAGAGCTACAAATCTTGAAACAAAGTTACTTAACATAAAAATCACATTACTAAAACATTATTCAATGATACACTACCTCCTCAGGGGGCAGACCCGCTAGGAGTTAAAAGATGTTCATATAAGGATAGATAGGCCTAGAGGTTGATATACACATCAATCAAATTAAATGTCTTTGTAAGTAAAGTACAATTCCGCAAACCCGAACCAAACAGACAACCTAGTAAAAGTTGAAGACATGTAAAGATTTCTTGGCAATGTAAATTATACACTAGCTCCTCAAAAGAAGCCCACTCGCTACAAGTCAGAAGAGACTTGTCAGAAGATAAACGTAGGCATAGCTTGATTTGTTGCCATTAGCTGTATGGGCTATTAATTAACAGTTGTGTCTAAGGAATATGTCAGCCTTAGTCACTAACAAGACTACAAGATCGCGCCACTCATCCTACACTCATCTCCATTCATACTTGGCTTAAAATACCTACTTTGTATGGTCGCCATTTCATCGAAAAGTATTAAAGTATTAAAGACATGCATGTCAAATTAATGTTAGGTTCTGCTGGAGCAAGCCCCCCTAGATCGCTAGTTTTACCTTAATTAACACTTCCAGGCTTTAAGGCAATTCCTTCTTAGTTCTCCAATTGTACGAGTTACTATATGTTTTGTATGCACTGTATGTTACTGTAAGACATAAAAAAACATAATTATAGATGGTAAATATATTTTTCAGTGGTAAGATGAAGTTTCTTGACCTGGATGTAGCATTACCCAGAACTGTGGTGAACACCATCACAGCTGACGGAAGCACGTGTAACATCAACACAGACTGTAGCCTATTTGACTGTCGGTCTAAATGTAACATGGACACTCACAAGTGCGACAGTCCACAGACCAATGACAACCTTCAGGTAAAAAGTTCCATGCATATCAGCATAAATGGATTCACCTCATGCTTACTTTACTTCCTTGGCGGAGACCTTAGTAAGCTTTTTTATTTTTGTAGAGATCTGCAGGCCAGACTATAACTTCAGATTGCTTTATACAAGTAGGTAATTAAAAAGTAATTAAAAATATTGATTTAAAAGAAATATTGATTGCTATACCAGGTTCTACAATTAGTTCATACAATATTAATATTATACATTATTTCCCGAGATTGTGGAGAAATCGTTATGATTCTCTCCCCTAGTTTCCGCGAAATAGTGAAAGTTTCCTATAGTAGCAAAGAGGTACCGTCAAACGGGGCTACTTTGTACATGGGGGCTACTTTGTACAAACTTTCAAAAAACTACTTAAAAAATCATAATTCCCGTAATTTTTATTATTTTTTAAGTGTAGCATATTAAAATAAAGGTAAACTTATATTCTTTTTGAAAAAAAATATCCCAACATATTATTGTTTAGGATTTAAAAATTAAAAATTAAAAACTGAAGGTACTTTTTTTCGGGGGAAAAAATTGTACCCAAACTTTCGCATGCACAGCTAAGTGCATTTAAATGATCATAAGATGTAACTTTTATATGTTGTTACCCCACTTTCTGGGACTCTAAAAATAAAAAAATTATCACTAATTAAAAAAAAATTTTTTTTGAAAAAGGTACACAAATGTTTAAAACCCGGGGTAACTTTGTACACTGCTTATTTTAATTTTTTCATGCCCATCCTGCTTGCTTTTACCACCTAATCAATTATAACCCCCTCAATACATGTTTAACTTGTGACCCATTACCCATTACCATTATGGGGACCCATTACCAAATGCTTGTGACGTACGGTTCCTTCGAAAAGTGCCGGGAACTGTTAATGTTTTCCACTGGCCGGAACTACGCGATGAAGACCTGAACATGCCATTTGCTGATATTGTGGCAGTGCTGAATGAGCCCAAACTTAATAGAAGAGGTCTGTTAAGTTTTCCACACAAGTTTGCAGGACTAGAAATAGAATAAGTAACAGACTACTTACAGCTACAGCAGATTTTTATCTGAAAGGGCATGGCAACCCTTGCTTCTGGAGCCAATTTTCCCGGACAAGACAAAAAAAACACAGGTAATTTAGAGCTAATTATTATTTTTTTTAGTTAAGTATAACTCTTTGGTAACTCACTGCATGCATCATTACAGCTCTAGCCTATATACTTTCCTTCATTTATATATATATACTTTACAAAACCCTTATGGTGTACAAAGTTCCCCGCGCAACGGTTTTTCCAATTTGCTGTAACTTCTAAAGTAATAGAGATAGAAAAATGCAATTTCCACCAAACTGTTCCAAATAGCCCCAGCTTTCAAATGCATGTTATAAAGTAACCCCTAAGACTAACCATCTTGGAGTTATTGGTATCCCAAGTGACTGTAATAAAGTAGCCCCGAACCCGTAGATAAAATAAATCTTACATGACAAAGAAAATATTATAGGAAATCTTCAGGCATGAATAGGAATTTGCTTAGTGTGTAGGTTTGCTGTGACTGTTGTATTATTTACTATCATTGTTTATGTAGTGTAAAATATGTTACATAGTATACAATAAGCTGTCATTTCAGTTTGGCTCAACAGTTAGCACAACCGAAATAAGCTTATGGCATTAGTACACTTTGTCTGTGGTTGACGGGTGGTATTGTCCTGTAATCCGGGTTCTAGGAGGTCACGAATTGTGGATATTTATAGGCATGCACTGTGGATGCGTTACTCTCTGGTGTGGATTAACGTCCGCACTAGTGAGTACTAAGACTACCCGCAATACTATCCTGATAATTAGACCAATTCGTATATACCAAGGCAAAAATGTGGTTCGGATTCCACTATTATAAACTGTAGGTCCCATGGTTGCCATTAGCTGTATTGGCTATTAATTAACAGCTGTGTCTAAGGAATATGTCGGCCTTAGTCCCTAACAAGACTACAAGATCGCGCCACTCATCTCCATTCATACGGCTTAAAATACCTACTTTGTATGGTCGCCATTTCATCGAAAAGTATAAAGTTCAATTCAAATTCTTTAATTTTTATTCTTAAGTTTGTTTATTTTTAATTTTTATTAATTTAATAGTCAAACATGCTACGCACCGTTACAGACAGTGTGTGAGAAGATATTCCTGGGCTGGACGGTTTCTGGTAGTGTCATCACGCCGGGACTTCTAATGGCGCCTCAGACACCGTCGTCACTGGCGTCACTTCTGCGCCAATGCGCCGATCCTGATGGGTAAGGCTTGGTGGGAAACTTCAACACTCCTATACAGTGTGTGTGATGTTAACTTTTATCACGGTTTCATTGACATTGATAACCTACGTAAAGCTGTCTGTTTTAGCCATAGTGATTTCATTTGTATGACTTGTTATTTTGTATTAATAGTTTTGTTATCTTTTTAGTTGGAAAGTAAGTTTTAGTTTAGCGGTAGCCAGAGAATATATTTTTAGAACGATGTATTCTTATTTCTTACCTGCTATCAAAAATTCGTAATAAAAACAGAAAAATTAGTGCTGATAACAGCTGTACTGTGAACAAGTTACAGTAAAGAAACTGTACTTTACTTGTGACGGACAACATTAGACTAGTAATGGAACTTCGACAGGGCACGATTCTCACCTTATTTGATTTTGAATGTGTAAATCATAAGCTCTTCTTGGAAAAGCTAACACCATAGGGTTTTAAAATGGTGGATTGGACTGACTGGGATCCTATCTGTCAGACAGGAAGCAGTGTGTTGATGTCGATGACTTACGATCTGACTGGGAGACAGTTACTAGTGGTGTGCCTCAGGGTCAATACTTGGTCCTCTGCTGTTCGTACTCCCTTTAGCCGTTAAATAGGCGTTCTCGGATTGTGGCAGCAATAATCTGTATTTTAACATATGACCATGGTTGGTTTGTCCTAGGGGCTTGTACGCATGGTTGATTGCTGATAGGTGTGCTTGTGTGTGATAGAGAGAGATTGAGAATATTTGTACAGTTTAAAATGTAAGTTATTTTCTTTTGTTAAAGTTTATTTATTTATGATTTATATTTTGTTTTATTGTATATTGATTTAATTGTTAAAATATTTGTATTATATTTACGTACAGACTTAAGAGTGTAAGAATTGCCTGTCTATTCATTCATTTCAAAAATGGTTCAAAATACCTTTTTTTGAATGCTGTTGTTTCAGGGATGGAGTGTATACAGCACCATCTGAGCAAGTAAGGGAAAGGCTGACAGCAACTTTACAGGAAATGGACAAGGCGCTTAGCTTAGATAACTATTGATAAATTCACTTTTAAGATCTTGAAAAAATATGGTTTTCTCGCTCATAAAAGATATCTTTTGTACTAGATTGAATTTTTTGGATTAACTAGGAAAGTACTTCAAGTATTAAAATTCTATAAGTTTTATTTTTTAAGTTTTATTTTGCCAAAAGATTTTGGCAAGCTATGCTACAAGCCTTTACAGCCAGTATATGCCATACCAACTAACATTATGCAAGGCTTTGTATAGAGAATTCACTAATCTAAACAGTATTTTTAATCTAGTATTTTCATCTAGTCAATGTTAGATAGATTTTACATGCTTTTATAACTTAAAAATAATGCTTATTCACATTTGCCTTCAACAGTTAGTTAATGTAGACTATAAAGCAATTAAACTTTTCCAAACTCACAGAACGTTATCTATGTAATCTACTGGTGCTCCTCATTTTAAAAGGTAAAAGTTTAATCCTATATTAAGATAACTCTACTGATTCAGACAATTAAGTTTTGAAATGTAGTCATCGCACAAAATATGTATCCAATGTAGATTTACGACTGTTTTCTCTGGTTAAAGCTACTAAGGATTTTACTCTCCATAAAGGGGTTGTAAGATTGATCAAAAACAAATGGATCAGAAAGTTATCTTGAATCTGCCATTTTGAATCTTTGAACGGGTGCCATTTTTTACTCAAATGTTCTTTTGAGCTCAAATTTCCAGCATTGTTTTCTACTAATAACACCCTTTAATTTGATGTGCATATCGACCTATGTATACGTTTTGATGAGGAGGGTAGCGTATAATATCATTGCAAATTCAAGCATCTTTGAATAGCTGTCATTTTAGACTCAAAAGTCCATTTGAGTTCGGGTTTGCCGCATTGTATTTTACTAACAAAGTAACTTTGCTCAAAGTTTTGTAGCTCTATTTTAAGTATTTCAAAAAATATTTAACCGATCGGGGACTTTTAGGACAACCTGTATATATATATATATATATAACATTTTGAACGGATGGTGATTCAAATTCCTAGGTAAAATTCCGTGCCACCTACGGTAATAGCTACTTCCCTATAGGAAAATTTGCTAAAACAAATAAATTTCATTAAATAAATAATAGGACTACTGTATTTTTTGCACTGTAAAGCATACATAATAGTATATTTCGTACCTTGGGCCAAAAATTAGGTTTTGCCGGCTCGAGATTACGGCATTTCGGTCCGTGGTACGAAACGCTATGTTTCACCACACTATTATAACCCATTACCACTATTTACCATAATAATAATGCACACTCTAACGGTCAGCACAGCTACACCTTTAAGGTTGTATGAAGAAATAATTTGAGGAATCAGTGAAAATAATAATAAATAGTTACTAGGCAGTGGTGACAATATAACAATTGTTTATATGTAGCTGATTTTCGGCCCTAGGGATGTAAAAACCTGCTCGGTCCCCAAATAATGATGACAGCTGGCATACACAGCAATACGTAGCTATTGGCCATGAATAAACTGTTTGTAAAACGGCTAAAAACATCGCAGTGTGGTGAAAACTAATTTTACAATACACATAAGATAAGATAAAATAAATCAATGACAGTTGAAAATTGTGTAAAAATGATGACGAGAAAGTTTAGTGTAATTTATGTAATCAGGAGTGAATAAAGAAATTTCTGTGCTAAGATATTGTTGTATTTGATATGATATGCTAGACATTATACCACAAACCCTCTTATACCGCCAAATAAAAAATTGAATCGAACCGGCGACCTTATGATTACTAGACGAGCACTATAACCACTAGGCTACCAACTACCAATCGAGTCATGCATACGTATGTTAAGTCTAACTCTAAGGCGGTCGACACACGGGAAGACTGAAACCCAACTAAAGTTGAACCAACTGTTTTAGTGTTTTGTGACGCAATTACGGTTGCAGTTGCGTTGGTTAAATCCACACACAAGCACGACTGTAGTTGAGTTGAGACATTGAATGAGTTCTAATTTTGTTATAACGATACTGTGTACTGTGTATGGTATTTGAAATGAGTAGTAGTGATGAAGACGCCCTGGTGTTTTACAAACAATCAAGAAAGCGTAGAGGACGTAGAAGGTATTGGGTACATCCTTATGTTAAAACAAATATTCAATATAGGCTCTTTGTAGCTGCTGCTGCATTACAAGAAGCCGACGCAAAATTTCAGTTTATGTGCAGGATGTCAAAAAGTACTTACGAAGAGTTATCGCAGTTGGTATGCACGATCCTTGAAAAGTGCAATACAAATATGCGAAAAGTTGTTCAAACCAGGCAACTGAAATCACCTAGCAACCGGGAGGTCCGGTTGCTTAACGACTGGTTCTCAACTGGTCGCATCGCAGTCGCACCGTATGCACTGTCCCACCTAAACTACATTGGTCGTGACGCAGGCGACTAGTTTGTCCAACTGGTTGCCGATTTCAGTTGGAAAACAGTCTTCCCGTGTGTCGACGGCCTAGATATACCTATTACTGTCCAGAAATTTACTAAGTAAATTTGTTATAACTTTCTCACAAGTTAATGCATTTACTGATGAACATTACAGCTTGATGTAAAGTTAGAAAAGCTAATTGAACACTTACCTCCAAAAATGTGCCGTAACTTTAATACTATAAATAAAATTATCTCTGTTACTGTAGACTCTAGTATACCATGGAAAGTATTGTTTAATTTATGTTGTTTATGGACTTATGTTGTACATTTTAGGAAAAAATAAGTTTAGTTTTGTTTCAATTGATGAATTTAGTTTGCATTCTAGTTTGATGTTTTCATTAAATTATGCCATGCCGGCGCAAAATGTACAAAAATCTAGTCTAATAAATTATTTTTATCACTTTTAACCTCATGGTTTTGTTCATTTCCTTACAATTATTTAGTTCAGTGGAAATCATTGAGGTGGAAGTTCCACTCCAAAAATCAAAGGTTTGTTTACACCCAGGTTATTCTGGTAAACTGTGTAACCAATTGTGATTGTGATATTTTTATACTTTGAACCCTTACAACTTGATAACATTTGATGAAGTAACAGTGACCAAGAAAGACTATAGATATTTGCATAATATTTACCAAGTAAGTAAATGAATTATTCAAACCTTTAATTATTTTGCATTTCTGTACATGGAAAAGTTGTTATTGAGATAATTGAAGAGACAGCAGTCATTCTCTTTATTCCAGCCAAAAGAAGTTGTTTTCATCTTATAAAAAAATAACTTCACACTTTTTAAATAATAAAGTGAAAAAGTTTACACTTGTAACATTCAAGTTTGAAATGTGCAATTCTATGATGAATCAATAGTACTAGCGGTCGTCATCGATCTCTATGTTGTAATAATAGAGATCGATGGCGGTCATGCAGTGGTCGAAAACTCACAGGCTTCTCCATTTTCACCCCACGCTGTAAATAAAACATGTGATTGTAATTTCTTCCATTTGTTTTGATTATCTGTGTATATTTTGTTGTTATTTCGTCACCTGCAAGGCAAAAATCTATATCTATAAAAGAGGAACTATGTATGTATGTGTGTATATATGTATATACGTTATGGACTCCGAAACCGCTCGACAGATTGTTATGAAACTTTCAGGCATTGTTAAGCATCTTTCAAGGATGGTTCGAGTTAAGTTTGGTGCAGATCTGTCAAAAGGGCTCTGCCCTAGAGGGTTTTATGTGGGCCAATGTCAGACTTTTTGATCTACAATGTTTACAAATAAATATAATTTAAAAGCAGATGTTTACTTTCACCAACTGTTTTGTAGGTTTGAATAATCACAACATTCTGTATTATCATTAGTCATGATTTGAAATAGTACCACAGTGTTTCTACAGAATGCAGCACAGAAAACTATTTTACTTTTTAATTAGTCCAAATGTATTGAGCACCAATCGCAGCACACCTGTGCACTGAACAACGTTTAAATTCTCCAATGTTAAATATTAAAACATAAAAACCTTTATCAAATTATTATAAACAATTAAAGGGATGACTTTTTTAAATTTATGACAACAGCTAATTTGCAACCAAAAGGTGAGTGAGCGTAGCGAACGAACATCAACCTGGAGGCGAGTAAGCGTAGCGAACGAGCTAACCTGAAAACAAGTGAGCGCAGCAAACGATTTCCAACCTGAAAATGAGTGAGCGTAGCGAACGAACTTCAACTAGGACGTGATTGAGCCATGCGAATACTAATGAAGTTAAGCGGGGCAAAGCCCGCGGGTACAGCTAGTTTATTATAAAATTGGAAAATCATTCAAATCATCTTGCACTTAATTTATTGGACAATCACAACACCATTTACAGACTGAAGCGACATACGATATTGGACCTCCCATTCAGATTCGGCTTAGTGTTATCAACATTCTCTTTGTTAGCTAGTGTTCACAGTCAGTGGTCAATCACTAGCTCATGTTCTTCAAATTAATGTTGTAGTATTATTTATATAATTTGCTTATTGTTCAACTTGAACAGATTGTAAATTAAATAAAGTAAAAATAAGCATGGCAACCCAAAAGGCCCATCTTAATTTATTTTTTATTTAAAATAAATTGTTTGTGCAATAAAGGGATTCTGCCATAGACAAGAAGAACTAAATATAGTCTGTGAGCCGTGCAGTGGTTACCATAGGTTCTGACGCGCACCGCTGGGAGGGTTGTGTAGTTACGTAGCGCGTAGGCCGTAACTACATGGAGCTACCAGCGGTGTGCGCCAGAACCTAAGGTAACCGTAGCACAACTGACGGTCTATATTTAATTATTTTTGTCTATGATTCTGCACATATACAGGAAAATATCTTTCTAACAGTGTGCGTAGATTTTCTCACGATGTACACGATCTGAGAAAAAAGGTTTTCAAGAACCAAGCTTGCCCTTTAATATAGATAGATGAATGATGGCTTGTATTTAACTATAGTAAACAACTTTTACTTATTTTCCTGAAAGGAAATACTAGAGTCCCTTCACAAAATTTAGGCGGTTTGATAGAAAGTTCCCCCACTACCTGTACTTTAGTGCTTGATTTATGTTGCAGATTATTGTCATTTTGGGAAACCTCAGATTTTAATAGTTAAGGTGGGATCAAGTGGAGGGAGGAATAGATTTCTTCCTCCAAAACCGCCTAAATGTTTTGAACTTAGCTAATTCCCACAACTTACAATAAACAAAGGCTTATTAATTCAGTTTTCACATACTCCTCTACACTAAAGCCAATCTTCATCAATTCACTTGTAGAGAGAGTATAGACTCTTACAATACAAGAGGCAAATCCAATCTAGATACCCCTGCCCATAGATTGGCCAAAACAGATAACTGCCATAAAATAAATTGCATACGGGTTTTTAATAAATTAAGTCTGGCAGCAAAACAGGTTCCTTTTAATAGGTTAAAGTCTAAAATGTTTGAGTGGCTCATCCAAAATCCATATTACTGTATATCAGAGTACCGGTACTTAGTTTCTGATGTTAATAGTAATTTTTAATTTAGAACCCACTGTATTTTATAGCTTTAGTTTTTATTTATATTGTTGACTATGTCTATTCCTTGTAAAAGGTCAATGACAATAAAGATCTTGATTCTTGATTCTTGAAATATATTCAAACTGTTTGCTATAATTAAAATACGTACCATAATAAAAAAAAATTGTTGTCATGTTATATCACATTTGAAACATATTGATAGAAACAGTTATTCACAGTGAAAACAATAAATAGATTTTGCTAATTCTTTAGGTCTGGATTGTTGTGTTATTCTCATTTAAAGTAACCTATTTATTTAGTGAAAAATCCTACACAAGCCTTACTTGTGGATTTATAAAACACACCACAATAGGATCGGACATTCACAATTTAATTTGGTAGACTACCTTTGCATTTTTGCTTGTTACATTTGTATATAAATTACAGTTGGTGTATAAAGGCTAAATAAAATCATACTACCCTTTAGTATATATTTGTCTTTAAGGATCAGCTTATAGTGTAGGGGCATTTGTAAATATAGGTACCGTAAGTTTGTGGGATTTTGAATGGAATTTTGTCGTTACTGGTGGTGACAGATAGGTAATGAGGACATTGTGTATACCAGGTGTTTTGTCTGAAAGTGTGGCCAAGCTGGTGTATGACATGATTCTTCCAAAATAGCCGCTAACGGCGAGATTGATGCCTTTCTAGCACTATAACTTCTTTACGGTTGATTTGATGAAAACTGTTTAAAGGACGTTTTTTATTCAGAACAAGACAAGGAACAAAAAAGGTTCTTACAAAAAGTTTGATATCTCTTGCGGTTACAAAAATACAGGGTGGGGCAGAGTGGACTCCCTAGTTTCAATCAGTCGCTGAAGAGCGTGCGCGGGAGTTAGCGGAGTGGGAGAGGTTTCATGTGGTTGGGGAAAGGACGCCATTGTTAGTAGTCACCATGCCGTAAACTGGCGAGCATCGTGGTTTTTTAGTCGAAACGTTCTTTAAAAATAAGGATAGTGTGGTGGCGACCCAGCCTGCATTTCGTAGACGGTTTGGTTTGAATTGTCATGATAGTGTTCCCGATGCTAAAACCTTAAGGAAATGGATTACAAGTGTACGGGCGACCGAATCTGCAACTGAGGTTTACAAAGTTCGACCAAGGACCTTGGAAGCCCTTAAGGAAGCAATTGTTGATGTTATCACTGGAATAATGCCAGATATGCTGCGTAGAGTTTTTGAAAACTTCATTGAACGGCTGAATATGTGCATCGCTCGTGAAGGTCTTCACCTGGACGATATCATTTTTAAAACTTAATGAAAAATAAATGGCATTGTATTTAGATTTCAGAAATAAAAAGCTTTTGTAATAATCTTGTATGGTTTTTATACAGTTAACCGATCAAATCAGGGAGTCCACTCTGCCCCACCCTGTACACACATCGTAAAAAAAATAACAAAAATCTGTATATTTGTTGAGTTAAAAAAGTAAAACAAATATTAAAATACATTTCGTAACTGATCCTGTTTCTTACCCTTTTGTCGCAAGAAATACACTTTCCCTTGTCATATTTAGGCGTTTTGACCTTAAAATATAGTTCCGATTCGAGGTGCCTTCCACCTCTGAAAGCGTAGGCTCAATACGATTAATTAGAGAAATATGTTGTAAATTCACTCATTTAAAATGTAACAACATAGGTACAACATGTAGGTATAAAACATACCTAAAACTCAAACACGTCAGATCTTACAATAGGATGAAAAACGTTTTGCGGTATCCACACTTGGTGAAAAGCACCTGCATCGTGAGGATAGGCAATTCTACTACAGCAATCATATTGCGGTACAATGTCTGAAGGCGCTGTAAGGGCTACGTTATTGTACCAACTACTGAGACGACCTTATCATGTGGTATTGAATGACAATATAGTAGGCCTAACTAAGGAATCGTTGTATAGCGATGAGACGCTGCCCAGTGGTTTGCAATCCAAAATTGTTAAAGAAAAAAATATTGGTTGTAAGATTTGTCACAGAGAAAGAATTATAAATCCCTGCAAACATGTTGATAACAATTTTCTTAAGTGGTAAAATTATGTTTATGATTTTAAAAAACACCATAATATCTTTAAATTTCCCAAAATTGTTATGTTTGTTATGATTGAAATTCGTGGCAAAAGTGAAAGTTAAGACGAAAATAGTACAATTTAAAATATTAACTTTATTTAAAACATTTTTTTAATATTTTGCCGGCCAGAAAATAATTTTAAACGTTGAACGGTATCTTTTTGCTTCTTTAACAATAGAGCAAGTGGTTTTAAACAATTATTACAATTTAAAACGTCAATATTGCTTCCAAAAACAGTTAAAATATTTCTATACCGACGTTACAAACTCTTTTAAATCTCATTGTTCTATTTAATTGTACCAACATTTAGGAAGATATATTTTTATTGTTTTCTACTTTCTATAATCCCAAATTCTATAGTATACTTACCATATCGCGGATATCTAATATCTGTTTACTTGTAACGTGATGATTTTAAAATACAATCAGCACAGAAAATGGATAATTATTAGGGATTGCCGGAAGCCTGGTTTATAAGAGATCTTGGTAATTCTTCCCTTCAATCTATCAGAGAGAATCTCTTTGACAGACGGATTTAGGAGGGTTGGGAATTGAATCGTTGATCTTAATTTTCAATGGGTATGTTGAAATATTATGGTTTTAAACTGATACTACTAATTAAAATTGATTTGTTCAAGTAATTTCCTAAACTGTTTGTTATATTCAATTTGTTTAGTTTCTTTTATGGTTTAAGAATCGATTTTCAAAATGTTAGAACTTGTTTTCCAAAGGAATACCATATATGTCAAAAATTGAGCTGTAGGCATATATTATAGGGATGGTTTCATAGGCATTTTATAACATTTATTCAGGTTTAGATTTATCGATCAGTACTTTGCCAACATATGTTTACACGGTCTTCACGGCTCATTTTTTATGCTATTTTTGCTATACAATCTACAATCTACTATTTATTCCGCTAGTCATATATTCGCAACTATATATTCACAAACTACACATTGTGAAACAGGATTTTTCCATAAAGAATATGCAGTTATCATTCAGTATCACGGACCTAATAAAAAAAATTGTTATCATTAATTAACTTAAATAGTTGGATCAGGTTTAGTTCGGTAAAGCTATTGATCTTATTTTTATCTCTTTCATTGCCATATTGTAGACGTAGTATGATTATGCCTAACTATTTTCAGCTTTGAAAAATTGTATTTAAATTTTCGTAACATACAGCAGAGTTTGACTAGATTGAGTAATTCCAAACAGTGCAAAGGTTGCTACGGATAAAATATCTAGAAATGAAACAAGTGAATATGTCCTTCATTCAATATGTTTCATTATTTTTATTCCTTGAGTTGGTACAGTAAAAGAACCAACTTATAACTAAAATGGTACAATCGATGTATAATACCGTAACTAATAATGTATGTAGAGTATTATACATCAATTAGCGGTACCGTGACTCGAACCTTCGACACCGCTGCTTAGTTTTATAGTCCACCACACTTAACCAATCACATTTAGTTAGATGTTTCATAAAATAGCTTTCACACTGTTTACTTTATTGGGCAGGTTTCTAAAAAAATAATAAAACCCAATGGTCTTATCACTAATCACATGTAATCTCCTGGACTGTTCACGCGAATGTAAGCGTAAGTGCGAAAGGGAGGTGGATATCGACCCAGGAGGGGATGGGTTTAGTTAGGGGTAGGTTTGGGTAGGGGTAGGTTTGGGTTGGGGAGGTGTGTAGTACGTTCCTTTACTCAGTATATCCAGGATCGCGGCCAACGTCGCCGCGACGTCTCGAGTAGTGCGTTGTGCTATTGTGTGTAAATAATACTTTCTTTCACGTCGTAAGTATTATTTTTATTTTACTTTAGATTTGAGTTATTCCACGATTGACTAGCTCAAATAAAGAGATATTGTAAAGCCATTTAAAGTTTTTTTTTTGTTTCCATGATCCATGATTTACGTCTTTAGTTATGAGGAGAAGTTTAACAATATTACAAAAATAAAAACATCTTAGAAATACTATATTTTTAGATTATATTGCAGGAAAATGACAGTTTAAGTTTGAAAAGTTTCAAAAATTTAAGGTCCAAAATTGGTTTACAATATACGGTAGGCCTACAACGTAACAAAATTTACATTAAATGAAGTAGAATATTGACTTTTTATTTTGTACAACTCTGTAAGCTATACACAAACTTGCAGATGAATAATTCCATTTTTGCTTCGCACACTTTTAATTGCATGTTAGTTGGCCATGTACTACAATGAAAAAAATTCAGTTATAATTAGATTTAAATTTTTTGGGAAGTAAAAAATAAAAAAAAACCTAATACAGCTATTATGTCTTATACTGTAAATGGCCAATCGGTAGAATCACTTAGTTTTACGAAGTTATGTGTTGGATCCATTTGATCTAATTTATCACTCTACAATTATGACATATTTTATTGTAACGACTAATATTTGTTTTGGGTGTTTCATAGTTTTAATAAAGAGTAGATAGGTTAACCCAAGCAACCGCCACCTTTTGACCTTTCTAGCTTCCGATGATACAGAGACCACTAGAAAATATTGACAAAATATGTTTCAACTTGCTTGTTTTTGTAGCATGCGATGTCTCTAGAAATTTTGCTGTCGAAAACAGTTTCAGAATACATAACATGTGTAGACACAACAGGTACCTATAATTTAAGCGTTTACCTTGAATGGTAAGTTAAGTATTCGTCATCGCTGAGAATGTTTTAATGACAACAGTTTGTGTAATGGAGTTTATATATCTTACAGGAATACATATTTCATTTTTAGACAATAATTACATGACAATAAAGCTCAAGATAGTTTTACCATTCTTGAATAAGTTAAAGTGTTAAGCTCCAGTTCTATACACAATTTTGACATAAGTTAATCATTTATATCAATTTTATGTAAAAAAAACCTCTTCACAAAATGCATGATAGTGAAACACAGTCCATAACAATAATTATTGAACAAAGAAAGAATGCCAATGAAATTAAAACGTAATACTGTAGTCCAAAATTAATAAAGATTATGCTTAGGTAAGTTTACTGTTGTATTAGTCTCTGTAAAAAGTTACAAATTTGTCAATACAAATTTGTTGATAAAGTAAACTATATAGCTAACTTTTTAATCGCGTGGTAGCCTCCTGGTTTAAGGGCTAACTTTTTAATAGTGCACGAAGGTTGGCCAATCGATCCTGGGAAAGGTTTGAAGCACTTTTTATTAATCGAAACTAACCTACTCGGCCATGATTGTAATCGTTTTTATTTTATAATTTTATAAAATTAGAATTTTATAACTTAGTTAGATTATTCCGAGAAAAGAACCAGCTATATCAATAGATACGAAGACGTAAGGTAGCTGAGGCACACAAATGCGATTGAAAGATTGATGATACCCCTTATTGCATATGGCTTTGCTACAAAGCAGCTTTTTCTTTGGCTAAGGAAACTGATGATAAAACCCAATGACCAAGGGGAGTCGTGTCCAGTTATGAACCATAAAAAGCCATTAACTTTTCTAAGGGTTGTATCAGTGACCATCAGAATATTCTTCGATCATTATTACTCAGCCTTTTACCTGGTATAGCTACTTTGATGATCATCGTAGTATCGAGTTTTTTTGTATAACCAAAGATTACATCGTTAGCATATGTAATCTTTGGTATAACTTATTCTGCCTCCAAAACTGTACATCCTGGTATATTGGTCATCACTGGTTAGCTGTCAACATATCCCCCCCAGAAGCGTAAGTGTATTAAGTAAATTTGTATGATAAAAAAAACGACTGCTGATATAACGCCATTTCATTTTCCGCGCAACATTTGAACCTGTAAGTGATTTGACATTCGATAATGATGGTTTTAGTGCAAAATAAAATAAGTAAATTAAAACAAAGGAATAACGAAGCTGTAGGAATACTGTATCAAGGTATAGCTAGTAATAAGGAAGTTTAATATTTGTTCGAGACTATTAACCAAAAGCAATATTTTTCAATTTTAACCTATTAAAATTATAAAGCAATAGCGTAAGAGCCGTACATAAAAAATAAACTGGCAAATAAGTTTTATCGATAATGTAAGTTAGTGATAATATCGCAGCGTTTCAACAGTTAATAATTCATCTTATCCGTCAATCGCAAAACACAGTTTGTGAATCGATATGTCGACATTTCAGCGCTAACGCATGACCAGCACTCTACGATGTATTCATTAAACACAGTTTAGGTCAACTGACTTACCAAAGCATAGAACCTAATGTAAACGTACACAGGTATAATGAAATCATCTTTTAATTATTAAACACTATGTACACATTCTTATAACAAAAGTACTACAAATTGGGACACAATCGTATGATTATAAAAAAAGCATAGTAAAAATAAAAATTCTACTCTTTAGAGCTGGTGGCCGACTGCATAGGTAACTTTTCTGAAGTAAACTTCACGACAATAAACTGTGTAAGTATATTGAGGCTCTCTCTTAAGGCTTTGTTCTGAGGAAACGTCAAAGCACTAAAGTCTGTTAACAGTTGATGTTCGAAGTGAAGATGATCCGCTTAACAGTATAAACTGCCATGCTATTATTATAAGTAACAGTTTTATACAAAAATAACTCACCAAAAGTGTATTTAAAAAAAGTATTTGTTTAAATTAGTAGGGGACAATGAGTTAAAAGAGGTACAGGTTTACTACGCAATTGCATTATTGTTTTTATTTTGTATTATTGGATAATGTCTTTTCATTTAAATTTGTGCAATCGTTAAGATACGTCTGTACGACACAGATTTGTTTCACTTTAGCCAAGTTTCAAGTTTGGAAAACGTAAAACAAGAGCACGACTCGGCGTGCACTAAGCGCTGGACATCAACAAACTGCCAAAACAAAAACAAAATATATAATGGTTTGTTTGCATGTTTAAAAAAATGTCTTACATGCCAGATAGGATTCTCCAAAAGCGTTAGATGTTTCAGGGAACCTAATCACCGAAAATTCTCGCAAGACATAAATCAATTTTCTGTTAGGTATTATTAATTAAAACACAATGGTGCCCACTTCTTTTGTGCTTACCGGGAACTTCAGTTATAACTTTGTTGATGTCAGGCAAAGTATTGTTTGTGTAGCGAAAGCAATGTTTATGCCAGGAAAAGTCAGCTGATCACTATTTAATTTTTGTGTATGAATATTGACGATTCTCGAAGATCTCAGCTATATGAAAATGGGCTATTTTCGAATACAGAGTGATGAAAATATATATTTATCCAACCCTGATGAAGCGGGACTTTTTTTGTAAATTCCCAAAAACGTCGGATTTTGATGCAATGGGATATTGCGTGTTTTGTATGTGTGTTTGTGTGTGTTTTACGAGTCCTGGACATCATAGACAAAAAATGCGAATGGAGCCTACAAATAATCTTCATAAATGAATAACACCTCGCCTAAAAGCATGATATTTATAAACAGAATCAGCTGTTACATCAGTCAGGATAATTTATGAAAAGAATGTCAAAGATTTATGCTTAAAAATAAAGACACAAAGGCATCCTAAAATGATGGTTCTTGGACTTTTTCTTTTGCCACAAAGCCCACTGGTTTTACTTTTTTATGAGAGCAAATTTGGACATTTTAAAATGCAGCTTGTTATCACACTGGACTAGTTTAAGAGGGTCCACTTTATAGGCACAGATTTTAGCTCGTCAAGACAAAACAACCTAATATTCATAACCTATATAAATAGTAGCCTATATGCATTACCCACATTTAAGAGAAAATTGAATTTTCTCGGGATACGAGACCAAATAAATTAGATCTAAAATACAAACAGAAACCCCCGTTGCAACGACACTATATTGCAAACGGTGCCAACCGATTATACAGCCATCTTATAATAATTGTTATACCAGGTTATAAAGCTACTATAGAATCGAGGAACTTTAAACTAATACCTCTTCCCATAGCCAAACGACGTCTCAATTGATACTTCTCTATAAACCCACTTCTAAAGGCCTAAGGGAAAATAACGATCAAGTAAATGACTCTAAAAATATTTCCCACAAAGCAAAATCTCGTTAATAAACCTCATTAGATTGTCGCATGGCATGTCAAGCGGTTTCATTACACAAGATATTATCAACACTTAATCGTAACATTCCTCACGCAACCGACCTACGCGTGAACTTTGTTGGAGATTCAGCAAAACAATAATGTTGACTTTATCAATTCAGTTTGCCATATGGTTGGTAAATTGAACAGGCTAGCATTTAGTTGATACTAAAATTTACGATGGAAAGAAATAGATACGCTGGATAAATTTTAAACTAGATAATCAACCCTTCTTAGAATATGATATTAAATCGGAATAGATATAGTTGAAGCAGTTGGACAAATATAATGAATATAAGAAAAATATAATGAACCAGATACTATTCTTTCCCTGATTGAATGCCTGAGCTAATTTCAGGACAAGTACGAGACATAATTAATTAGGGATTTAGAGATGTAGTAATTTTTTCCGTCGCCAACACATCAGGGTCCAAATTTTAAGGCGAGCATGAGGAAATTATGAGTGAATGATGAGGGAATTATGAGTGAATGATGGGGGAATTATGAGTGAACGACGAGGGAATTTTAAGTGAATGATGAGGGAATTATGAGTGAATGTTGAGGGAATGATGAGAAGATTATTAGTGAATAATGAGTGTTGAACGATTAAGATTGTAGGTTTCTTACTGACTGAGATCAGCTGTTTCTTCAGTCAGGATATTTTACTTTTATTAAAAGCCCGATGATTTAGAAGAGCTGGGTCCACAGGTTTGGAATTTTCTCA